AATACGTGTTTGTGATACAGCATGAGTATATTCATTGTTAGTTTCTGACCCTCTGCACCACTACCAGCATCACCACACACAGCTAAAAAGACCCTTCCTTAAATATTTAGCTTGAAAGTTGTCACTTGATCTATTGATTGCAATCATCAACTATCAGTAATCTGAAGAGGTGGTCAAAAGACAGAATTATGACTTCCGGGAAAACATGGCAGATAAATAATAGCAGCTATGGAGGCTCTCTGAGATAGCCAGCTTAGAATTCAGGAACGGTGCGGTGTGGTGAGTCCTAAGTAAGGGGAGATATACCCTGCCGACCCAGGAATGAACTAAGCTGAGAGAAACCAACTGGAAATGCAATGCTGGTGCTATAACCAGAACAGATAAAATCTCAGCACGGAAGCTGGAACCCATGCCTCTGGAAGCCATGATTTGAATTTCCTGCTGCCACTGCTGCGTTTGAATCAGCACAGCAGGCAGAGCTCGAAAGCTCTGAGTGGGAAGCTGTGAATGGAGTTGAGAGCGGGACTGGTGGGGAGCCCTGCATCAACCTGCGGTGAGTGAGAGGAATAGAGACCCTTCCATAGACTAGAAGGCTACAACAGAGGACATTCTGGGATTGGGCAGACTAGCCGAAATAGGACACTGCAGTGACTTTAGTCGCATATTCCCCTCTCAAGCGGGATTGGTGTGGAGTGGTTGGCCTGGGTGATGCTGCTGACTAAGACCCAGTAGGCTAGCCCAAACCAGGTCCCAGTGCCTGGCAGTACACCTAGCAGTGAAGCCTTCAGTAGGTTGACCTGGAGGGGTGGGCCCAGCCGAGGCTGCCCAGGGCTGTGTCTCCCTAGTACACTGCAGTGGGCGGGAACACCTAGCCGGCAGATTCAAACTGTAACAGACAAAGAAAAAAAACTGGGCCTCCTATATACGCTTGTATGCAAGGAACAAAAAGTATGGGAAGAGGGAGCAACAAGAAAGGGTTCTCAGTCCCCAGTCCTGAGAACACTGATCCAGGAAAGGTAAATGCAAAGGAGAATGAGGACAGAAAACATGCAATATCAGACATGGCACCAATAGACAAAAAGTGATATCTCCAGAGCTTCATAGATGAGTTCAAAAGCGAAGTACTTAACAAAGTAAAGCAAGATATAAGTAGAATAGTTAGAGAAATGCTAAGCACCACCCAAGAAAATACAGATGGTGGAATGGAAGAACAGAAAAAAAGGGGAGAATTGTTTGATGGAGAACATAGAGAAAACATAGAATACGAAGCAGGTTCAAAGAGATTACCAGGAAACTAAAAACTCTATTGAAAGCTGGCATAACAGCTTGAAAGAAACTAGGGATAGATTATCTGAACTGGAGGGCAGATTTGTAATGTGGGAGCATGAAATGAAAAACTTCTTAAAAATAACAAAACTAACCGCAATAATACAAAGGCAAGATGATAAGAGGATCTATAACTTAAGAATTAAGAACATAAAAGAAGAAGTGGGGACACAAACAAATGAACTACAAAAGCTATTCACAGAAATAATCCAGGAGAATTTTCCTAATTTAGCAAAAGGTAAAGATACTCAGATGTATGAGGCATACAGGACCCCAACCACCTACAAACCAAACAGAGCTACACCCAAGCATATAATAATCAAAATTCCAGAAATCCAATATAAGAACAGAATATTAAAAGCCATCAGAGACAAGAAACAGATCACTTACAATGGAACACCATCAGAATTACAGCAGACTTCTCGGCACAAACCATCAAATCACGAAGAGCGTGGGGGAAAATAATTCAAGCTTTGAAAGATAATAACCTCCAGCCAAAATTGATATATCCTGCACAACTGTCCCTAGAAATTGATGGAAAAACAAGGTGCTTCCAGGATAAAGAGGAACTAGGGGAATTTGCAACCACCAATTCAACTCTACAGAGAATACTGCAGGATAGTCTAAAAAAGAAAAATACCAAGATTCCAGAAACAGTGGCAGAGAGGCCACAATGAATGGAGCAGAAAACAAAATGAAGAAGACAAACTGACAACTAATGACAGAAAAAGAGCTCAACAGAAATGAGGCAGAGAAGGTTGAATGGTAGGAACAGCTATTTTGGAGAAAACAAGACATCATAATAGCTAGTGCTGATTTAGTATCTTGTTTTGAAGTCCCATCAAGCTTTTGTTCTTCTATCTCCATTGGTCTTAACATGTTGTATCTTATTGGATTTTATTATATCTGATAATATAAACAAAAAGTTTTATAGACAAGGAGATTATACAGAAACCATTGTTCATTTTCTGATAGTTGGTTCTAAATATCCTGTAATGCTGTCATTCTCTTGAATGGTTTTACATTGTCTTGATATGTTTGGTGTTACAGTATACAAAGTTATACTCAAAGATTACAAGGAAAGAGACACTATGGTAACTACTTCTATGTCGGAATATCTTGTGGTGAAACACTATTTTGCTTAAATGATTATGTTTTGACCTGCGCTGTTTTGTTGTTATGCCCTCTTTTATCTCAATCTCCTTTTTTTATTATTTACTTTTTTATCTTTATCTTTTTAATGAAGGGAAAAATAAATAAAAATAGCAGGATACATTATAGTTAGCAACTTTGATTTCCTATTAACTTGATTTGAGACCCTGTATTGCTCTCACCATCTTGTTTTGACTGATTTTCCCCTGTTCTGCTTTGCTTGATAGTACCAAGTTTGAAAGTATTGGCAACAACTGTGAAGACAGCAAGATTCATTATGACGCCCATTCTGGTTGACTATTATCTTCTTTTGAAGTCCTCTAATGTCTCCAATGTTTTGGTTTTATTGGTTTTGTTCTTTACTGTTTTGTTCAATTTTATTATAACTGATGATATAGGTAATTCTTTTTAAGATAGCAAGAGGCAGTATGATAACCATTGTTGATCGCCTTGTATTTTTTTACATTATCTATTATGTCCATCCTTTTGATTTGACTGACTCTGTTCTGTTCTGTCGCATTTGGTTTTACTCTCTTCAAAAAAAAGTAATAAGAACTGTGGGAGTAATAAAACCCAAAATGTGTAATTGTCTTTATACAAAAGAGAAGAAAAGAAAGTGCTCTAAAGGATATAACTGCATGTATATTTAAGTGTATAAGATAGATAACCATATTACTGAGTTTTGTTGGATCACTGAACAGAACTGTTTGCAGTCTCACTGTTTGAAAGTCCACTTTATATGCTTTAATTTTGTAACTTGAACAACTATTTTTACGATGAGTATATGTAATCTATTAACTAGTGATTTCCTACTGTTTTATTTTTTCTGAAATTTTGTATAACTTGTACCCTTTTTCTGTATTTTTTTTTCCTTTTCTCCTTAAATAAAATTAAGGGAAAAAAAGAATTACACGAATTGAAAGATTTTAATTGGCTTTATTTTGAGTTTTAGAACCCGGCAACACTTGATAAAATAGAAAGATATTTTCCAATAGAATGGGAAAAAGAAATTGGTTTTACAGGCAGAAGGAGGTTAAAGGAAACAGAAACAAAAGAACAAAAAAGGGAGTTGTTTGTTTCAAAATTACTTCCCTTTTGTTAAAGTGGAGATAGAAGAGCAGAAAAACAGCTGATTAGTTAAAATCAAGTCACTGCAGGGATTATCATGCCCAAAGCTGGCCTGTTTGGGGGTTTGGGCTTTAGCTCTGTGGTAGAACTTTTTTCCTTACATGAGTAAGCTCCGGAGTTCAATTTCAACACAGAAAAAATTATTTTTGAACTATTTGGGAAATTTAGTTTTTATTTCTCTAAAATTTTTGTCTCAGAAGGCCAAATCAACAGCTAGTTCCTGCTTGATCATATGGAACTTTAGTGTGCTACCATTTTGAATTTTTGTCTGGTCTATTGCGGCCTATCACAGGATTTTAGGTGAGATAATGGCTTCCTATAATTTTTTTTAAACAAAGTGAATCCCAACTGTAGTATCCCAGATGGTTTTTATATATTTGTTTGTTTTTGAGACACAGTCTCGCTATGTAACTCAAGGTGATGTGAAACAACTCACCAAGTAGTCCAGCCTGGCCGCAAACAGGGTGATTCTTCTGACCTCCAGGAAATTAGAGTGTGGCAAACTGGCTGGGAAAGTGAGCGTAATCTGTTAATTAAAAAGTTCCAGGACACATGTGCAGAACAGTTCCCAAAGCCCTGCGCGGGGAACCAACCGGAGTGCTGTCTTCAATTCATCGTATGAGAACTGGAGCAAGCTTTACCAGAATGGCCTGGACCTGACGTCAGCCTGAGTGGCAGATATGAAAGGGCAGTGGATACTGAGCTCCGGGCTGCTGAGTTCTTTCACAGTAGTGTGCTTTTTCCCCTACTTCTACTTGGCCCAAACTCTCTCTGCAGAGCCTGTTTCTTTTTCTGTGTTTACACTTGTCTTGACCAGTTTCTCTGTTCAGCAGGAAGAACCCAGGAACCACCTCTAAAAGGAGCCTGTAACACCCTAGTCCTAGTGTAACACTTCCCCAGCCTCCCAAGTGCTGGGAGATTATCTCCTTTGTATTTTATTCCACAAACCCTCTCCCATTTCCTTGATTAATGTGAAATCTGTATTCTAAAAATAAGTTTAAAGAGTATTGCTTTGAGAGTGAATTTTGACTATTTTGTAGTGCCCAGTAAGCATTAAATGACATGAAAACCTAAGTGGGGAACTTTGGTCCTGTGAATGCATCCAGGAGACCCACACTCTTGTCAGCTGTGCACAGTAGTAGGTGGCTGTGGACACTCCCTGCAGCATCAGTGACTCTGTTTGCCACAGACCTCAAAGAGAGTTACACCTAGAATAGTGAGAAAGTGTGTGGAAACTGTCAGGTAATTGAGTCTCAATCTGGGCTGTGCATCAGAAAAACTTCACAATCTCTGAGAAAAAGTTGTTGACCAAAGTTCACACTGCCAGGGTTGAAGATGATCAGTGATAGAGTTATTTCCAAAAGATGAAAAATATTAACAAAAGATGAGAAATATAAAATAAAAAGCGGCCTTTATTCTGAGAACACGGAGAGAGATGACCGGCACCCCACCGCTGGTGTCCGGCGATCTCTCTGGCGGACACGTGGCGTGGGGGCCTGTAAATAGCCTCGGTTTGGGGTGGAACCTAAGGCGGGCATTAGGGATACACAGGTAGCCCATTGGTCCTAGGTTTGGTGCCATATGTAAATTCCCAGGGGCGGGAAGATGGCATCACAGGTAACTTCCTAGGGGCAGGGCAAGATGGGGCTTCCTGCTTCCGGTTGTGGCTTTCCTGGCTACAGTGTCCTGCCTGGGCCAAAACCTTTCATAGCCCGTCTTATGGTTATTATTATGAAAAGGGGCGAAGATTTCTCTCTTTAACTACTTCCTGCTGGCAAAGGGCGCTGTACTGGAGCCTAGGGGAGTCGACGGGATGAAGGTTGATGCCCAGGTAGACGCTGCTGCCAGGTGTTTTAGCCAGGACAACTTCACTGGTGAATGCACGTATGTCAGACTGGAAAAACAAAGAGACAAAATGTTATGAGGAGACATGGCACTGTCATATTTAAGGACCCAGGTGAGGTAGAGGGAAAGGTGCCTTTGATTTAGACATATCATTCTATCAGGACCATGTTGAGGTAGAAACATTTCCACAGTAAGGCAGAATTCTGAAAATTAAATGTGGGGTTAGGAGGAGTGGAGTTATGAGAGGTGATTACTCCCCCATCTGAAAGCATAAAAGTTAAGACGGTAGGTTGGTAAGGCTTGTCTCTGGTATACATGATGTTGGAGTCTGTAGGCAATACTGTTAAAGAGTCCTGCTGTAAAAATGATCATTAATAGAATGTAAGAAATTAGGAACCAAAATGGATAACAAAACATGACTTAGCCTGTTAACTGTGGCTGCGAGGCCTTTGTGAGACGGAGACGAGTAGGCGACAGAAGATGAGATGACCCTGAAAAAGTATAAACCAAGTGAGAAGATAAAAATGTATCTGTCAGTCTTGACCAGGGTACCTGAGAAATTGGTGAATAAGATAGGAGGAGGGGTGGTCTATATCACTGAGGAAGGGTCTACCAGCAACAACAGGTGGAAGCTGTTGAGGCCTCAGTGTGTCTAAGTCAGCCTGTATAAAAGGCATTTTGATTTAGGACTGGGACCTGCACAAAATAGGCCCTGTTTGTAAATGGCATAGGTTGACCATCAATACCCTGTCATAGAGATTGAGGACTTAATATAGCAGCCTGAATACTCAGGAAGAACTCTGTATATATGGCCTCTATGTCCACAAATATAGAGAATGTCTTACCTGAGACTTTAGTGCGACTTGGAATCTGAGACGGACACCTTAAAGGGGGCTGTTGTTGCCCTGAACTTCCTCAGTCTTCAGCAGCGATTTTCTGTCGGTGACGAATTTGGCAGTGTCGACATTTCCTGTCAGGGCTAGAACTTAGGATGACTTACCCACTCTCTGGTGGCTAGGACAGTCCAGTAGCCCTGGAGTAAGGTCTCAAAGAATGCCAGGATGGGGCGTCTTCTGCTGCATTTGAGCGTGGTCCATGGAGGGGGCAGGCAGCTCCACCTTGTGTAGGTTTACCTGTCTCAGAACTCCAAGTGTCACAAGTGTTAAAAATATGAAAAACCATATTAAGATCTCTCTAAGGTTTGAAGGTCAAGTTTTGCCTTTTTGTTTGGGATTTGGACTATAGTAGAATTAAGTAAGTATGCAGGAATTTAATATTGGCATTTTGGATTAGAGAGCAGGCTTTATCTGGATGGCATACCGCTTTTTTTATAGGGTGACACGTAGAATTAACAAAAAAGCTTTAGTCTGCCAAACAAGGCTTTAATGGAAACATTTTGCAGTAAAGGTTTAGCAATCTTATGAATAAATCAATCAAAACTGATCTAATACTGTCAAATTCTGAACACATTTACTTTTAAAGTTGTTATTTGCAGTAGTATGAACCAAGACAAATAAAATAAAACTTTGAAGAAAACCCTTGTCTTGAAATAGAGCTAGTGGTTCCCAGCAAAAAGGAATTTATAACCTTAGTTGTTAAACAGAAGATTGATGAAGGCTTTGATTGATAAACAAGGCTGGTAAAATTATCAGGTGGCCAGTAACTTTGATTAAATGGTTTGAGAATTGTAATAAAAAAGCATCTTTTGAGCGGAGCCAAATTGTAAAAAAAAGCATGCCTGAGCAGAGCCACTGAGCTGCTGTTTCTCTGCGCTCCAGCAGAGCACGCCCAGTGGGTGGGGCAAGCACTGGGATATAGCGCGCAGGGGCGGGCTCGGATTGCCCCCGGAAACGTGTAAGGTGGCAGCGGCGGCATGGGGGAGGGAGGGGCTGGGACGGCGCATGGGGGAGGGGCTGGGAGGCGGCCTGACACAGCGCGAGAAGCTGGAACTGCTTGCAGGGCTTGAGGATTAGAAAGCCAATTTAGGAACACAGCTCGGTTTTGATTAGCTTCCTGGACCTGTTTTAAAAGTTTGTTATAGTTAGTATGCTTGTCCTGCTCTGGCACAGCTATAGGCCTAGAGTCATTATAAACGTCCTTAAGATGTAAATCATAACAATTAATAATAAATTTAAATTGCCTGATATAATTCTGTGGGTCAACAGAGAGGCTACCTAATTTAAGGGTAATCTGAGATAGATCAGAAAGGGAAAAAGGCACATGGATGTTAACAAGTTCCTTGGGGCCAGCTTGCTCCCAAAGCGGTAGCAGAGCCTGAGGAGATTCCGGAGCAGAGGGCCACTGAGCAGCCATCCTTCCGGTAGGCGCATGTGAGCAATCATCTGTATAACGACTACAGAGCTGCTGCCGGTCACCCTGGGAAACATGAGCAGATGGCGTCTCACTGTGTGCCTTGCAGTGAGAGGACTGCTGTCGGCAGCACAATGAAGCATCATGTGCACTGCAACAGGACGGCTGTTGTAGTTCACAAGAGGAGCCACAAGGAGACACCTGTTGACAGTGAGGGCCCTGGAAACATGGCGGCGCCCTGTCACGTGACCCAAAACATGGCGGCGCCTGGGAACATGGCGGCACCCTGTCACGTGGCCCGAAACATGGCGGCGCCCTGTTGCCATGTGGCCCTCCGGAACATGGCGGCGCCATGCCACGTGGCAGAGGGTTGCAACATGGCGACTGTTCCCCGCGCAAGCTGGAACAATCACGCGACCTGCTGGAAGGACATAGCGACCGAGACCTAGTATGGTGGGCAGGCGGTGAGAATGCTGTAGGGGATACAGAATTCTCAGGAGAGGAAGTCGGAGACTGCGAGGAAGCGCTAACAGAGGGATTAAAGCTGCTGGGAGAGTTATGGGTCCCGGAAGGCAGAGAGGGAGACGATCGCCCAGCGGGAGGTATCTGCAACGGAGAGGGATTAGAGCTGCTGAGAGAATCAGGCATAGGGGGAGGAGAGAGCGGTCCGGCGGGAGATAACGGCAGGGAAGAGTTTGGTGGTAGGCAGGCGGTGGCCGGGAAAATGGATGGCAGGAAGGAAAAGTTTGCAGCGCAGTAGACTTAGCTAAAAGTATCTCAGCGGGAGCACAAGACTTAATGAGAGATGGGCGTGTTCTCAGAATAAGAAAGGCTTGGACATAAGGGAGTTCTAATAACTTGTTGCCAGCTTGACAAAAATCGTACAAGTTCCTGAGAATGCAGGGGTCAAATGTTCCTTTTTTGGGCCAAGGCTTGCCGATAAGCGGGTAGGTTGGCCAGACCTCCTGGCAGTAAAAAGTTAGTTGTTTAGTTTTTATGGTACCTTTAATTTTTAGAGTACGTAAATTGGAAATTAGGCATTGTAAAGGCGTCTTTTGGGAGTTAGAAAACACGTTCCCCATGACTGATTCAGGCAAGAAAAAAAAACCGGAGGTCCAGAAAAAAGTCGTCACTTATTTGTGGTACCACGCGGCGGCTACGGTTCCAAACCGTAAACTCCAGTCGTCACTGAGAGATTTACGAATGGAGTCTACGTGGGGTCAGTAACAGTTTTGCCCGTGAAAGCGCAAGGCTTTAAGGGAAGTGAGGCATTCTTTCAGTGTGGGCGGTCCCAAAAATCTCTGCTTTGGGCTATCCGAACCCAAAGAACGTGAGAGATTTTGTGGGCACAGGTTTGCCCAGAAAGAACCCTGCCCTGGGTGGTCCTAAGGACATGAAAATGCACAGACCCACGCAGACAGGGAGAACATTCCACTGGGGCTGCCCAGTGCGAAAAGTTCCCCGGGGAGTGCTCACCTGAAATCAGTCTGGCCGATGCGGGAGTGCAGGCGGCTGGCGACAGGAACGTCTCGGGAGAGGAAAAAGCTCGGGATTAATCCAGGATGTTATCTGGTTATCGGCGAGGAAACTCTGGGTATGTGGCCCAAGAGTCAGTTGCCTGCCGATCGAGTCACGGCACCAAATGATAGAGTTATTTCCAAAAGATGAAAAATATTAACAAAAGATGAGAAATATAAAATAAAAAGCGGCCTTTATTCTGAGAACACGGAGAGAGATGACCGGCACCCCACCGCTGGCGTCCGGCGATCTCTCCGGCGGACACGTGGCGTGGGGGCCTGTAAATAGCCTCGGTTTGGGGTGGAACCTAAGGCGGGCATTAGGGATACACAGGTAGCCCATTGGTCCTAGGTTTGGTGCCATATGTAAATTCCCAGGGGCGGGAAGATGGCATCACAGGTAACTTCCTAGGGGCAGGGCAAGATGGGGCTTCCTGCTTCCGGTTGTGGCTTTCCTGGCTACAGTGTCCTGCCTGGGCCAAAACCTTTCAATCAGGCTTAATAGAATTTTCAGACAACACATACAAGCTAGCAATGACTATTGCTTGGAAAGTTACCCACAGCAGAGTTGCCTCCCTTCTCTTTGCCTGACCTTCTAAATTCTAAAGAAAAGCTGCATCTAAATGATTAAGGCTAGTCATTTTTTAGCAGTACAGAAACCAGAGCATCTAGGGCCCCAAAGATAGCATCAGAATATAAAGCATATAAGTCACTATGGGGTTCAAGTCGTTGAAAAGAATGTGTTTGCCTAAAGAATTTTAGAAACTGGTCCTAGGAGGCTAAGTTCAATTATAATGCTATAGTTAGAAAAAAGGAAAAAGACATAGGTGTTGGATGAAAGACCTCACCTAGCATGCAATCTTCCTATCTGTTGCCCCCAGAACCTCTTCCTCAGGATTTAAGCCCTTCTGAACACCTGAGTTCCCAAGGTGGTCTTTTATGCAGCGGGGGAAGCTCCTTCCCACTTATCAGGGTACCAGCCTTTGAACAAACCTAATTTCCTTTCCACTAACTCTCATTGCCCCAGTATTGACTTTCGAACAGTAAGCAGGTAAACTTGGGAGTTATAATTGAAAAAAACTTTTTCAGGTGTTACTTTCAAAATAAATATGTGCATAATAATAAATTTTGTGCATAAGAATTAGAAAATAAAGAAGAAAAACAAAACATACACAACCTTATTAAGAGACAACCATTGCTACTATTTTATTAGATTTCCTAGTAATGTTTTGTGATTCTTTTTTTTTTATGTAACTACAGCTTTCTTGTAAATGCACAAAGATGCTTTTGCTTTGCAGTGTTTGACACAACCATAGTAGTATTTTCCAGTTAGGGCAGGTAGTATAATTACAAATAAATAAAAATCCTTTCATCTCTTTCCTTGTCCATTCTTCCACACACTTTTATGTTAGGTCAGCATAAGGACTCACAAAGGCAGAACATTAAAACATACAAAAAATGTTCAGTCTCAAAGCCTTTGTTTCATCTCAAAGCCTTATCAAATAGGGATTCTTAATAACAAAGCTCACACTGAACTGCAGATTTTAGGAACTCACTTTTTTTGTTCCTTTAAAACTTTATTTGGAGGTTCCTAAAAATTCTTGAGGGGATCTTGGAGTCAAAAACCTTCAGTTCAGAAAACAACGCGACCTCCCATAGCCTTCTCTGTCTACCCATAGCCTCCCCATGCAGAGTTTAACTGGGATCAGAGACGAGACCCAGTCCTACCGGGAGGACTCACCCAACCTAATACCACCCAAACTAAGGAAGGAGACCAGGGCATGGCAGAGCTGGCTGGGGAAGTAAGTGAGACCTGTTAATTGCAAAATGTCAGGACACACACCCAGAACAGTTTCCAAAGCCCTGGACAGGACTTTTCAGAATACTCTTTGATAGGATGGTTTTTGATAGGATGGCCCTGACTTGACCTCAGCCTGAGGAATGCGTGATACAAGACAGACCACCTCCAGCTTTTGCTACTGTATTTTCTGGTTATAGCCTGCTCTTGTCATATAGAGTATACCTGTTTTCCTACTTTTATTTGGACTCTCTCTGCAGAGTCTGTTTCTCTTCCTACCATTAATAAATATAAGACCTTGCTATCATTTGTGCTTGTCTTGACCAATTAATTCTTTGTTCAGGACAGAAAGGACTTAGAAACCAGCTCTGAAAGGAAACTCTAGCATCCTAAAATTTGGTAATGTATTGACAGAAATGAGCTGCTGCTGGCAGAGGGTTTTCCTGCCCATCCACTGAAGGTATTACTTGTCCCTCAAAATACCTTATCAAGGGCACGAGCTCTTATCAATGGCAGATGGCCTCTCCTCTGGAAATCTAAGTTTTCTTTGAAGTTTATATTTCAGTTAGGTTATTGCTATGTGTCTATGACTGTACCTTTTTATAGCAAAAAGGACAGTGGTTAAGACATCCTTTTAGAATACAGATCCCTTAGAATCTGTTGAATAAACATTATGGAAGACCATTGCTTTTGGACTAAGCTCGTACAGGGAATCCCAACAAACCAGAGTAGAATTGAAGCTAGGTTTTTATCTCACCTCCCTAGAAATCAGGAGAGATAGCAGCTAAGTTTCCCAAACAGGCCAGTTTCGTGAAGATGGATTTCTCTCTGCTTTAATCCTTATATAAAAAGTGATGAATCAGTTGTTTTGCTATTATGCATCTCTTCTCTGTCCTTCTTCCTCTCCCCAGTTCCTTAAATGACAAATTTATTTTTTATTCTTTATTTCTGTTTTTTTCCTTCTCTTTATTCTTTTGTTTCTTCTTTGTCTATGAAACCAACCTATATGCTCAGCCCATAGAATATTTATTTTATCTCATGGAATACAGCGGTGCCCAATTCTAAAATGAAAAATAAAGCCAATGAAGATCTTTACAGTGAATTTTTTGTAATTTTACTTTTTAACAATTCTTGGGCAGATATGGAAACAATGATAGATATTTTGCCTTTGCCTTCTGCTGAGCCCAAATAAATACTTCTTAACTTTGTTTGAAATACCATTGTTTTACACAGTAAGCATTAACAGAGTAATTTAACCAGAATGATTTTCTCACTAGTAAAATGTGCATCAATGGATAAATGAATAAAGAAAAAGTGATATATACATGTATATGTATAGATGGAATATTAGTCATTAAAAATAATAAGATCTTGTAATCTGTAGTGACATGTATGAATCTGGAGGACATAATGCTAAATGAATTATTCCAAGCACTGCATGTTTGTGGGAGACAACTTCATTGATTCCCTTTGAATCTAAAACAATTGCTGTGACTTTGACACTTGGAGACTCATTTCCTTATACTGATATGTAAAAGGCTGGCTAAGGTATTTCCTTCTCTCTTCAATTGGCTCTGAGCATCACAAATAAGACTAGCCCAGGTGCTAATGTGCAAAGTCTATAGCCATCAGACAGTCCTGTTTCCTCGTACAGTGTACTCCACAATACAGAATTGAGCTCACCAGATGTTAGAGCAAATAGCTCCTGGAATGTCAACTGGGTAGAGCCTCAAGATAAGAGGCTATGGACTCCCCAGGGCACAAGAGTTTGCATATCAGAAACCAAAGCGATAGCACCCCAGAACAATGCCACTGCTACCTTAATTGATCCTTCTGTATATCTTTATCTCTGCAAATTACAGAGATGCCATTCTTGCACCTGGCCAGCCAGTTCAAGTTACTCAGTAATCCCCAACATCCTCTCTTATCACTTATCTCTGGGCCACCCCCCTTTCTTCACAAGATAATAAATGCTGGGAAAGGCCTAGGACTGAGGCCTTTGTCTGCATGTCCTCAGGAGGATTGGATTTAGGACCCCTTGGCTGCCCTTAACTTGGAACATGTCTTAGTGTCTTTACTCTCACCATGGGGGTTGGATTAGTGGTGGTAGATTAGAGTTAACTTGCTAGGATTCCGATGGGATTACAAATACAGCTTTTTGGATTGTGAGTAAAACTAGAAAGAGGATTACAAAAGTTGGATGACTGAACTCGATATTTGGGTTTATAGTACATGTTCTCTCTCATCTATGGAAGCTAAAAAATTGCTTTCATAGAAGTAGAGAGTGGAATATTAGTTGCCACAAATTGGGAAGGAGACTGGAGAAAGGGTAACTTGGTCACTATTTTGTTACTGGGACAAAACACTCAACTTCTACAATTTAAAAGGGGAGAGGTTTATTTTGGCTCAGAGTTTTGGCTCATGGTTAGTTCCACCAAGGTAGGAACAAAATGGCGAGGGGCACAGCAGAGGAAAGGGCACTCAGCCTATGGCATCCAGGAAGCAGCAGTAAAGGGAGGTGCAAGTAAAGGGTAAAGTAAAGGTGGTACCCTTCCAGATCCCGCCTCCAGTGACCTGCCTCTTCCTGCCAGGTCCCATCTCCTACCATTCACAATGGGTGAATCCACTGATGAGCACACCACCTCCATGAACAAATCACCTTGCACATGAATGAGAAATGGCAGAGGGGGTATAGTTTAGATTTAAATCATAGCAAGGGGCAGTAGATGAAGACTGAATAATAGATAGCAAAATATTGTACAGTTACATAGGGCAGTTGTTACGGCTCATGTCAACATGTCTCCCCAAAGCCTGATGTGGTCACAGTTGGGGCTTTTCCTAAAGTGACTACATATGGAGTGTGTGATGCTGGGATCAAGGGTGTATGATTACTAATTGGTTTGGCATAGTTCTGGGTAGGATTAAGGGTGCCCCACTCTAGGTATGAATGGTATCTGCCATAAGGGCAAGTAACCTGGATAAAATCTAACGAACAAAAAGAGAGTTGCTATGGCTGCTTGCTGCTTTTGCTGCCTGCTGCCTGCCATAAACTCTTTGTCCTTTGTGATGCTTCCCTGCCTTGGAGCCAGGAATTGTGGACTGAAATCACTACAAGCCATGAGCTACAATAAGCTTTTCCTCTTTTAACTTTGGGTGTTAGATATTTTTTTCTCAGCAACAAGAAAAGTAAGAGCAATAGTAAATAATAATGTTTTACTATTTATATTTTATAAAGAACTAGGAGAGACAAGCACAGTGGTACACACCTGTAATCCCAGCACTTAGGAGGCTGAGGCAGGAGGATCACCATGATTTAGAAACCAGCCTGGACTACATAGAGAGATCCTGTTTCAAAAAAAATTAAATAAAAAGAGAGAATTTCAGAATGTGCTAACAAAAAGAAGTGATAAGTATTTGAGAAGATAAAAATGCTAATTACCCTGATTTGATTATTATACTTTGGATAGATGCATTAAAGTATCCCTATACCCCATAAATATATGCAATTATCACATCAATTTTTTAAAAAGATGTATGCTACTTTACACATGTGTGTGTGTGCATGCACCCATGCATGCATGAACCCATACATGCATGGCACATGCTAGGCAAATGCTTCACCATTGAGCTACATCATTGACACAATTTAATTTAATTTAATTTTACTTATTTATTTTTGGTATTGGGAATTGAACACAAGACCTTGCACTTGCCAGGCAGGCACTTTTGCCACTGAACTATATACCTGGCCCTTTTATTATTTTATTGAGACAGTCTTGCTAAATTGTCTAAGTTGGTCTTGAATTTGCAATCTTGCTGCTTCAGCCTTCTGAGCAGGGGGGATTATAAGCATGAGCCATTATACCCAGCCTCACGTGCTAATTTTAAAAGCAAAAAAATAAAACATAAACCTCCCATTCTTTAGAAGTTAAGAAAAATAAGTCTTTATAATTCATTGCTTTCCAGAAAACATTTCAAATCTTTATTTCATGAATTTGCATTACTTTCCAAGAGGAATTTGAAGTGGACTCAGGTAAAGAAAATGTGCACATCAGGATAAGTGAAGTATGAAGGAGCACAACAGCCACGGAGATGTGGAGAAGCCACGGCCCCAACTCAGAGGACCAACTGCTATGGGATGGATCAGGGTGTGATCTGGGCTTAAGAACTGGTATAAAACTCAGAACATGATAGATTCTTGTAAATGGGAGTTAATAATTCATAATGTATTACATTTCTCTTCTTGAACATCCATATCATTTTATCAAATGAAGTTGCACCTACATCCGTGTGTGTGTGTGTGTGTGTGTGTGTGTGTGTGTGTGGTACTAAAGGTTGAACCCAAGACCTTTACACTGAGCTACGCCTGCATACACTTTATTTTATTTTATTTTTTATTTTGAGACAAGGTCTTGCTAAATTGCTAAGTCACCCAGGTTGCACTCAAACTTGCATTCTTTTGGCCTCAACTTTGCAGGGTGCTGGGGTTATAGGCATGTGCAGGGCAGAACTCTTCTGCAAAACCAGACATTACCCTCTCCTGGGCTGTATCTGTGCCCACTATTGTAATGTGCAGCATCCTTTCAGGAAATAAAAAAAATGATTAAACTCATTATATGCTTTTGCTATATGGGTCACTTCATCTCTATCTTGCAAATTTTGAGGCAATAAACACCCTGGTATATTGGTCATAAAAGGATCTCTGTTATTCTTGATGGTCATGACAAACAAGAAGAAAAAGAACATCATTCCCATCCCATGTGAGAGAAAGCTCCAATTAGATAGCTCTCAAAACACATTCCCAGCTGTGGCAGAGAGGCTGCAGGATACAACCAAACCAAACTCATTCCTCTTCTGAGTCTGAGATTGTTGCCCCCAGAACCAGCTGGGCAGCACCGAAGTCCCACTGTGATCCAAGAATCTCCCAGAAGTACCTAAATGTAGGAGTCTGAAAATAAGCCCCATCCTCATTAGTAGCTAGTGATTGACACTAATAGCACCTGTGCAGACATTAGAAAAATCTAGGGCTTGGGTGTAATTCAGAGTATGGACAGGCAACTGTGGTCTCAAACATCAGCACCCAATAAATAAAGAAAGGGAAAGGGTGGGGCCTTTTGCCAAATCCCCACATAATTGCATCCTTTGCTTTTTCTACAGTAATACTGCAAGGGCGTTCCTGGCACCATAAAAGCACTCAGAACCAAAGTGATCCTGACAGTGCAAGTGTTCAGTCCAGATTTTTTAAAATAAAGAGTGAAGCTCATTGTCATAATAAAATTGTCTAAAAGTGACTGCATGGATTTCCACATGGAAATGCCTTGTGCTGCAGCCATGTCTTTAGTCTCTATGATTATCTGATTCTCTTCATCTTTCCAGAAACTTCCATGAACTATTATTATTTAGTACTGTCCCTTCATGAGAAACATAAGAATTGGGGTGAAGAAATGACAGTTGGAATATACTGTAATCTGTCTTATCAATCGATAAAATGGGAAAGGAAAAATGTGGACCTGACCAGTTTCCATCATTAATGAAATAGAAGATACTAGTTCCTTTTTATAGAAAACTTGTGGATTAAAGATGCTATACTTTTTCTCAAGAAACCTGCATTTGATCCCAATCTACCAAATGAATCTTTCTTGAATTTTTTTCTCAAGGTCCTAAACATCCTGTCTTTATTCACAAGATCTAAAATCTACCTTGTTTTTGTTGGCATATGTTTGACAGCAAAAAAGCATACATACTAAGTAGTATGTATATAGTTATGATGTGATTATGAAAAGTAGAAAAAGAGAAAAGTGGACTTACAATCATCACTGTAAAATTTTCCAGTCCTGACCCATCACATCGCTATTAAAAATCTTCAGAGATACCCAATGTGGCAGCACACACCTGTAACCTCAGACACTAGAGGCTGAGGCAAGAAGATTACAACTTCAAGACCAGCCCGCACAATTCAGTGAAATCCTGTATCAAAGTAAAAATGTGAAGGTCTGGGGATGTAGCTCAGCTGCAGAGAACTTACAGACCATGTGTAAGGCTCAACCTCCCCCATACACATACAAAAAAAGTCTTCAGAGGTAATTATAAAATTTTTATATGGTAAAAACTCTTATTTATGGACACAGATGACAAAATAGTAATCGACACGACTGCACAGAGGATATGAACATAGAAACAGCTCTTCAAGGTCAACCAGGTCCATTTGACTGCTCTGTAGTTTGCCTAGGACTAAAATGAGCTTTGCCAAAGAGAATTTATTCAAAAGGTGGCCAAGTGGATGCAGGAGAGTCTCAAATCTGTCTCTGTGAGATTTGGGGATGTTAATAAATGGAAAGGTAATTGGAGATTAGGAAGTAATCTGTGCTCTTTGCATATGTATGCAAGCCATCTATTGTTACCATTGTGACCCACAGGTTAGAGGTGTTACTTATACCTCTAAAACTGGTGATTTGAGGCTTTTGTTTATTTGTTTGTTTGTCTTGTTTGAGACAGAATCTTTCTATGTAATCCAAACTGGTGTATAACTTACTATGTAACCTAAGCTGGCCTTGAACTCATGGCAATCCTCCTGCTTCAGCTCCCAAGTGCTGGGATTACAGGTGTGTGCTACCACATATGAATCTAAAATTGGTAATTTTAAAAATCAACTAAAAGCAAGCAACTAGGAGCAACTGTAAGAGAATATGCCTAGAAAAATAAGTAATTAATAGCAGATAAAGTGGGAATTAAATGAGTTAGAGCGTATATTCAGGCTTTCTTTTGTTTCCAGTCTCTTAGGAATAGTTATCTGTTTCTTCGGTGAAGGGAAATTTCCTGTTCATAGGTGCTAAGTCTTAGTGATGCTTGACCACGAATGGTGAAGAGAGCAACTGGGTCACCACATGCTTTGCAGGACATCTGTTCTCGGGGAGAGTGCCTTTCTCCCTAGGTTCCTTGTGAGACCTTCTGCAATCCTCTCAGCACCCACACTTCCAGCCAAGGAGCAATGGATCTTTAAGTTTTGCTTTGTTTTATTTTCTCCTGGAAATATTCCTAGCACAAGATCAAAACTATGCTCAGAAAAATCTTCACATGGTAGCAACCTTGATATTTTCTTGAGTGCAAAACAAGAAACAATGGCACTGACCCACTGGCTCAGAGGCTCATCCTAGAGATGAGGGGAGGGTGTTATGATACCCTTCTTGGTTTACCTTTTAATCCCAGAGATCTGAGTCTTTCAGATCAACACTGTAACCTCCCTTACAGCCGTGAATTATGGGCTAAGAGTCAAGCTGGGTTCAGTTTGAGAAAAAGTTACTACTGTATGAGAAGGGAGAATGGTCCCCAGTGCGACTGCAATGTGCCTCAGCATCATTTGGGCCAATGCTTCCTTCAGTCCCACCTAGGTTCCTTGACTCCCCTGTGCCTGCTGGCCCCAAGCTTCACCTGGATCCTCTTGCACCCTTACCTAGCTTGATCAATCACATGATATTTTCCAGCATCTGCTGTTTTCTGTTCTCTTTGTGTCTTAGTTCCCACTGACACCGCTTTTCAGCAAACCCTTAAGTGCTGGTATCCTAAAGTTTCTGTTTTGAGCCCTCCCTGGGTGATTTTACCCATGCCTCTGATTTTAATTGCCTCTGTATATTGTTTGTAGCCTGGATTTGCCACTTAGTTGTCCACCTTGATAATCCCATTCATCATGTGTTTTTATTCAACAAGTCTTCCGAAATGCTCCAGCTCAGGCGTCTAGAGTGAGAGCCCCATTTTCTATAGCAGACAATGGTTGGCATCAGTGTCACCACTGCAGACCTTCAAAAACCCCAGCAGCCCTCTATCTGGGCACACAGGCCACATCTCTCCCCATATACCTTCATCTATCTCTTTTGCCTTCCACCAGATCCTTAGGTGATTCTGTCTTTCATTTCACCTAAGATATTAGAAGGCAGTTCATGAAGCATTACCTAACCTCAGATTCCCTAGCACAATGTGTGGTAGGCACCTGTTTTCATAAATTCTCTATCATACTCTACTTACTCTGATACCATCCTCTCATGTCTCAAGTGACTCTTGAAGGTGTCTCTTTTCCTCTCACTGCCATAGGTCAGCTTCCAGATCAATTTTCATCACTCCTTTCTCTGTGGTCTCTCTGGTTACTTCCAACAACACAAAATGCATCATTCCTAAACAAAACAGATGATTTCCAATTTCTTGGTGACAAACCCCAAACCCTGGTACATAGTTTTCAGGGTTGACCCTGGCTAGTTTACCCATTGCCTCTTTACTCACACCTCCCCAGTATCCAGGCTGCCCTAATTTCTGCCAGTCCCCAGCACATCTCAGCTACCCACGATTGGCCATGTGGTCTCCTCAGCTTGGAATGTTTTTATTTTCTGCAGAACACCCACCTACCACTTACAACCCAGTGCAGATGAGGCAGGAGAGAGAGAAGGGTCCAACGCTCCTCAAGAAGTAGTTTTTGTTTTTCTTTGCTTACTACCCCACATGCCTTGCAGGCACCCCAGTTATCTTTGGTGACCCACAGCTGCTTCAACAGATATTTGCTTTGGCTGCTTCAGGCTTCAACATGGACCTATTTGTACCTATATGTACCCTATAGTTCTCTGGATAATTCCACCCCTCTGTAGCCTTTCTTGTCTATGTTCACAAGGGGTCCCTCCTCTACCCATGACCAAACAAAAACTTTAACATTGCATGAGCAATTTTCCTTATATAAGTAATCGTCCCATACTCCTTAGCAAGTCGGTCCATGTGCTGCACTCCATTAATGCAGAATAAATCTTAAGCCTCTTTCTGCATGGCATGTCCTTGCCTATTCATGATCTCTCTCTTTCTCTTGAGTAGAGCATGCTGAGCTGTACATAAGACCTGGTGACACCAAAGGCTGCTGGTGTCAACTGTACCCAGCAGCTGAAGCTGGTAACACTGAAGGTGACCAGCAGTAGAAAAATCAGACAATGGTAGAGAGTGATGGAGAAGCTGGGAGCTGCCATTTTTGGTGGTAGGAGGAGTTCTCAAGGCCTGCTGGTAGCCACTGGTTCTTCTAAGTACCGGAACTAATAACAAAAGAGCTGATAGCTGCTGGTATTCAAGGTTCCCAAGTGTTTTCTATATGAAATCAGCAAGAACCCTCAGCAGTCTGTAATAGTTTTATGAGGACCCTCGCCTTCGGAGATCCTTAAACTAAAAGACAGACAATGGTGCCCATCATCAATAGGTTCAAGAAACAGCCAAGAATGCATGCTGACACAGATAGAATCTCTGTCCCCTGGGTACAGTCAGTCCCTCTGGGCTTCCATTGGCCTGTGGACCTAACAGGACAGAATGATGCAATTATCCTGCTCATCCCTTTGCTTCCAGATCAATTTGGACCCACACAAACTGATAGAGAGGAGGTAATGCCTGTTGATCTTAAATTTCATCATGGTTAGAGGAGAACCCATCTGCAGCTAGATGACTGACCTTCCTCATCTGTGTCTCAGTTTGCAGTTCAGTTAGGCTAGCTGAGAAGGAGTTGGACATAATAAACTGTGAAGAGTGATGGGAGCTCTGTGGTGATCAGACAAGGACCCTGGGAGGGGAGGTGCTTGGCAGGCTCTGCCTCTGCTTCACTCTCCATGTGGCCTCTTCATGGAGAGTCTTCCAGGAGACTGACTTATCTGAAGGCTGTGGAGCAGGCAGCAGAAAGGCACGCAAAGGGATGGCAGCATTAGTTGGAGATGGCCAGGTCCCAGGCAGGTGTGGCAATGGCAGGATGGTATAGAACACTTTTCCCTCATCATTTTCTCTCCTGCTAAAATTTGGACACTGATGGCTTTTCTCTGGATTGGTCCCCAAGTGACTAATTACTGTTCCCAGCGTGACCCCGCCCCCTATCACTGTGGCCTCTAGGCTGCGGTCAGATTGATGACTCCTATGGGCTGGGCTGGCCATGTGGTTTCCCTGCTTCTCAGGGTCCCAGCTACACCAGGATAAATCCAAGGTCTCCAGCTGGTCTCCGTGGACCTCCCAGCTCTAAGTCCTGCCTGGCTTTCCACTTCATCTCTTGACTTCCCCACCTCTCCTCCTAGGTTGGGTCTTTGGTGCCATTGATCAGCTCAGTGCACTTATCCAGGCTCTTCACTTTGCAGAGAGTATCCGTTATGATTTAGGTCAGGATTGGGGGCATAGCTCAGTGGTAGAGCTCTGGATCCTCATTACCTGCAAAATGAGAGCAGAAACTTTCAGAGCAGAAAGCACATGCTTAGCATGTGCAAGGCCCTGAGTGTGACATGCAGGCCCCAAAAAGAAAAAATATAAAGACTTAGGTAATTTATCTCATTCTCAAGGCAAATACACACACAGAAACACACATGCATAAAGACTCAGACCCATACATCGACATACAAGTAGACACATAAGTAGATACAGACACCCAGACACAGTCCCACACATATAGATGTGCATGCAGACACAAACATACAGAGATACCCAGATACATATGTAAAGAAACACACTCAAGCACATACATAGACACATATGAATACTCATAGACACAGCCTGACACTCAAACATATAGACACATATGCATATGCACACTCATGGGCACTCATACACTACACACACACACATAAACACACATGTAGACACACACACAACCACATCATACCCCAGCGCTGGCCTAATGGCTTTCTCTGGGCTCCCATAGAACCACTTTCTCTCTCCAAGATAAATTCTTTTAGCTCAGAGCCCCATCTTTCCCATTAAACACCCCGTCTTACCTTGCATCCTGTCTAATTCCTTGTAGGCCTTCAATCATAATTTACTAACCTGAACCAGTCATTCTACAGCAGGCCAGAATCACTAGGTGTGGAATGGCTCCCACAGCAACCAAACCTAAATTTACTCTTCTCTCTGAGTCTCTGGAAAGGCTAGATTACTGTGACCATAAAAGAACATAGCAGTTGACAGTAAGAACCTCACCCCACAACTTCCACCCCCCAATTTTATCATGCTCTTTAAAATGAAAAAAAAAGTTCTTGTTCTTAAAAGTTAGGTGTTGAATTCAAGAGCTGCTCCAATTTGAGTTATTTGGCAGAATAATGAGTCAACTCACATTTACTTAGCCTACAGGAAACTTGCTTAGCCCTTCTTTCAGCACTTACATTTCACTCCCATTTATCACCTCGATTAAAACCCTTTGAAGACAGGATCTGCAGCTGACCATTTTCTACAGTTCCCAGAGTTCCTGGCACGGTACTGCCCGGATGGGTGGCAAAACACTGGAGAAGGAGAAGGAATCATAATATGAGCTGGGCCCTCTGGGTTTCCCAGGGAAAGAAAATAATGTATAACTTGGACATATAGTGAAACCTCCACATGTATGCACCCTATCCTTGTTAATGTGCGTACTCAGCTGTGTTTCTGTCTGTTCATGGCAGTCTGTGAACTGTGTCTGCTCACCTGTGTCCTCGGCAGTCACAAGCACAGGCTTTGTTTGAGCAGGGTGAGAATCCCAGTGGTGTCACACACAAGTTGTTCCACTCTGGGTTAGCCTCTTGAGCATCAGTTTCCTCATCCATGAAAGAGGAAAATGAAGGCACTGATAAATCACTTAGCACGGTGCCGGGCCCATAGCATATGGACCATGCACTCTTGTTGTTTCTTCAGATTATTGTTCCATGTGTCCTCAGTAAATCTGAAATACAGCAAAGTGGAGATTCTCAGAGCAGAATGCTCTCAAAATATTAGTGTATTTAGGAAACAGGAGAAATCTGATGGGAGAAATACACTCTGAATATAAGTAAAGGCAAGACAAAATATAAAAACCATCTGTTAAAACCCAAGACTGGAGTACAACCCCCAGCATTTCTTTGGCAGAACAGGGCAGGTAGCAGAAGGGGACCTGGCTCTGGCAACCATGTGTTGCAAGAGGTAAAAAATGTATATATATTATGGTTTGGAACTAAAATGTCTCTGAGTGTTCTCCTGTGCATGGAAGGTGATTGAATTACGGAGGTGCTAGACTTATTTGTGGATGAGATTAGTAGCTGTGTGTGCTGGTAGGAGGCAAGTCACTGGGGGTGTGACCAGGAAGGATATGCCTCCCTCCTGGCCCCTCCCTTTTCTCTGCTTCCTGGCTGCCTTGTAGTGAGCAGCTGTCCTGTGGGGAGTGCTTCTGCCTTGGAGACAGCTGGCTTTGGACTGAACCTTTGGAAATCATAAGCCAGATAAACTTCTCTTGCTTTAGGTTGTGTCAGGTTTTTCTTTCTTTCTTTTTTTTTTTTTTTTAATCTCAGTGACAGGAAAGTAACTAAGATAGTTTGTCTAGCCACTAACAGAGGGTCAGCTCTCAAACCTAATTTAGGTTTCAAGATGGCAGCAGGTTCCCACATGGAGAGGGGATACCAGCTCAGAAAATCCAGGTGACAAGTGGTCTTCAGGGTGTGGCTTTTAGATGACCTACCTGCCCAGAATCCTGACTCTGGGAAGAGAGACTGAAGAATGAGATGACTAACAAGAAACAGACAGGACAGGGGTGCAGGTGGGTAGCAGGATGACTTTCAATCTGTTACAGCACAGCAGGGTGACTACAGTAGACTAAAATAGAGTATTTCAAAACAACTAGTAGAGAGAATTTTGAAAGGTCCAGCATAAAAAAAGATATAAGCCCCCTTTCATCCTTTCTTTTTCTACTGTCCCTTCAAAGATGAGGTAGGCCTTCAAAGTACTCTGGGAGCAGAGACCTTTGCTGGAGAGAAGAGCAGGAATAAAGGTTGGCTGGACTGGGAACACTTCAATCACTTGCATTCTGGGGCTGTGACCCCTGAGCTGCCTGATTCTCCCCACCCCCAGCTCCTGTAGCCCCTGGATCCAACTCATTTGGTTATTCAGGTCCTACCTCCAAGGTTTCACTTCACCTGCCTACTGTCTTCCAATGACTGAGCTACTGAAGAAGAAAGAAGCACAGAATGAGAATAAATTGTAGCTTCTGCTCTCTGAGATCTACATCTTCTGGAGGAACAGAACCATAAATGAGCGATGGTAGTGCAGTGTGATAACTGCAGTAACTAAAACAACAGCATTCCACAGCGGAAGCAAGGACAGAGCTGCTGTAATGCCTGAAGTGGAGAAGGCTGCTCAGAGCCTTTAATTGCAGTCTCAGAGGATAAGTAGAGGTTTGCTAATTGTTTTCTCTGGAAGTTATCATCATGTACTCATTGTACGGACTCCAACCCACCTGCCTAGCCATCTTCATGCTGAGCCAAGAGCTGGGAGGCAGTGGGCAAAGGCTTGCTGTGCTTTCAAAGAGTGTCCTTAAGGGCTCGATGTCTTGGGAGTTGCATGTGGTCTGCATTTTTGTTTCAGGGTGTCGTCCTCCAAAGCAATTACACATACTTTACCCAGAGATTGACATTAAATTCTTTTTGCTGCACCCACTTAAAAAAAAGAAAAGAGCCTTATTAGAGCTAAAATAAGCCCTTATTAGAAGCAGTCTGTTTAAAAATCAATAAACTCTTCTTAATCCTTCCAGTGGAAAAAGAGAGAGGCTCCTCCATGTCTTCCCTAAAAAGTCAGTATTTATACAAAGCCTCTCGTCACTGGACTCAGAGAGGCAGAGATGCCCTGTGTTCCACCAGCTGCCTGCACCCTCCAGTCCCGCATGACTTATTTGGCTATAACTAATCTCAGCCTCAGGCTTGCTTACATTTTTGGGTTACCCTTTTGCCTGGAATGCATCTCCGTGTTCTCATTAGAGCTGTCTTCCCAGCCCTAGCCCTCGCTCTCTTTTGTTGCTGTTACTTTCTGTCCCTCCATTAGTAATCTTGACTGCTTCCAGCACAGAGCCAGGCCCTGGTGTGTTCCCCATCAATTTGACACTTTCTCTTCCAGCGCCAGGCCAGATAGAGGCCCTGCACCTCCTCCCTCCCTCCCCTGTCCCCACAGCCATGCGCAGCTGCAGCCCTTCCTGGGTATTTACAGTAGGAGTTTTACAAATAATAATTCTTAAGCTTGTAGACAGAATAGCTGGCAAATAGTCAAGCTATCCAACAAGACGACCTGTCCAGGGGGCTCTGGTGTGCAGGCTGCAGAGGGGACAGGCACCTTTGTGGTTGACTCTCTAGGGTGGCAAAGCAGAGCTGTGAAGGGGACCTCCCCTGGGGATCCTGAGCCCCTCTGTCTAGCAGTATCTCTTCCTAGGAAATATTAATGTGTTTCCTTTAAAAGTAAATTTGAGCTGGTGTGGTGGAGCATGTATGCCTATAAAACCACCACTTGGGAGACAGAGGCAGGAGGATTGCTTTGAGTTTGAGGCCAGCCTGGGTTACAAAGTGAATTCAAGGCCAGCCTAAACTTCACAGCAAAATCCTGTCTCAAAAAATTAAAATTGAAAGTTAAAATAAGTTTGAATTTGTCACTTTTTAAAAAAATATTTTCCTATCTATAAAATTTATTTTATAGCATTATAGAAAACTTTAGAAAAAATATTAAGAAAACATCTATAATCCACCATCCAGAGTCAAGTATTCTTAGTCTTCTGGCAAAATTACAAATACATTTCAGTACAAAAGTAATGTATTTTTGGTATAAGGCAATGAGAATAGCACTTAATTTCTTTGGTTTTTTTCCCCCCAAAGTTTATAACTCCTTTCTAATTATGCAAAAAACACAAGACAAACTCTAATTGAGCATATTTTACAAAATATGGGCCCATATACCTCCAAACTTCCAGTTACCTGAAACAAGGGAAGCAGAAGAGATAGCACACTACAAAGAATCCTAAGAAGATGTTAAATAAAACATACTGCCCTGGATGAGATCCCGGAGCAGAAAAGTGATATTAGATACAAACTTTTAGAATCTCATTAAAAGGTCAGGGATGTAGCTCAGCAGCACAGTGCCTGCCTGGCAAGCACAAGTTCATGAGTTCAATTCCCAGCACAAAAATAAATAAACAAACAAATAAAATTTCATTAAAACACAAACGCTAGTTAGTAATAATGAGTCAATATTAAATCTACTGTGACGAATATAAGATGTTAGAAATAGAAGATGCTGGGTACCAGATATACAGGCACTCTCTCTCTGTAACTTTTGCAGCTTAATGTTAACATCTAAAATGGTCCTCAAATACAAGCTTTATTTTAATTTTATTTTATTTATTCATTTTTAAGACAGGGTCTCATCGTGCTTTGAGATTACTTTGTAGCTCAGGCTGGTCTCAAACTCACAATGATCCTCCTGCCTCAGCCTCCCAAGTGCTGGTATTATGGGTTTGCACCACCACTCCCGGTTTAGAAACTTTATTTTTAAAAAGTGTGACATTATCAAACAACCCAGAAGCATGTATGATAAAAGGTTAAAAGGCTTTTGCCCTCTGCTTCTATTTCCCCACCCCACAGCTGGCACCAACCTTGTTTTCTGGAAACATTTCTTCTTTATTGCATAGTTGAGCTCATGTTGCAAATAGAATTTTGAATCTTGGCTCCTTTGTTTAATGTTAAGACATAAGCATTTTCCCATGCCCTTAAGAACTCTTCTTAAAGACAATTTTATAGGTTGCGTAATATTCACTGCACTGTTTCATTGCCTAAATTAGCTGTGATCCAACCCTTGTGTTTCCGTGAGTTTGCTTTCATTTACCCATGTCTAAGAATGTTTTCTTCTGCAAAGAACTGCTTCTCTGTTTTCTCCAAGCAACAAGAAGTCAGCAAAATCTTCCTCTTTGTTCTCCTGAGGCCTCCACAAAACTTTAGTCAAATGTTTTTCAACAGGGTGTGAATTTAAAAACTTTCCTTTCTTGACCTCTTCCCTTGTCTTTAATCCTCATGATAAAGGGATTTATAATCCATTAGGGAGAACCCCAGTGCTGTCATTGCTGAGGTTATAATGAGGACTGTTGATGCGCTTGGATTGAAAAGTGCCCTCTCCGAATTCATATCCATCCAGAACCTCATTCCAAAATATAGTCCTTGGAACAATGGAACTTTATTCTAAAATAAGGACTTTACAGATGTAATTTGGTAAATGAGGTCATCTAGAATAGGGTGCGTCCTAAATCCAGTGACTGGTGTCCTTATAAGGCCATGTGCTATAGTTTACATCTGGGATGTTTTCCATGGGCCCATGTATTAAAGGCCTGGTTCCTACTGGGACGATTTGCCCCCATTGGAGGTGGTAGAAATTTAAAAGATGTGGAGTCTAAGGAGAGGTAGGACCCAGGTACTAAGACCAGACTCTTGAAGAGGATAGTGTGACCCCAGCACTTCCTCCTTTTCTTGTTTGCAACTGCGCCCCAACACAAATGGTTTTGGCTGTCCATGTACTCCCACCATGACCCACGGCTTCACCACATGCCCAAAAGTGACAGGGCCAACCAACCACCCACAGAAGCCTCTAAACTATGAGCCACAAAAAGCCATTGTAAGCCTTTCCTTTATTTGAGCTGTTCGTCTTGGGTGTTTTCTTAGAGTTACAGAAAGCTGACTGTCACCAGGTTAAAGTACAGATATGCACAGAGAAGATACCACATGAAGATGGACACAGAGATCAACCCAACGTGTCAAGACCTGGAAAACCAGGTCTTGACAGTCACCCCTCACCCAAGCCAGGAGAGATGCATGGAGCAACTTATCCCTTAGAGTCAGTAAAATGGAACCAACCCTGCCAGCATTTTGGGTTTTCATATCAATATTCCAAAATCATGAGAGAATACATTTCTGTTTTTGTTTTTTGGGGTTTTCTTTTTGTTTTTATTTTCGGTATGGGGATCAAACTCATGACCGTGTGTTTGCCAGGCAGGTGTTTATGCCACTGAGCTAAATCCTCAGCCTACGTTTCTGTTTTTTAAGCCTCTTAGTTTGTGATATTTTGTTAATGCAGAGTAAGTGGAGTGTGGCATCACAGGAGCTGGGTGTGAACAGAGCTTTGATGTGTATGTGTGAAAGGGCCACAGTTTTGCCCTTGGGGCTAGGGAGAAGTCTGCGGGGTGGTCACAGGACCAGATGGATAAGGAAGTGGACAGGATGCCATGTCCAGGTGTTCGGTGTTATTTCCTCCCTTGATTCTCCCCACCTGGTGACCATTTCACTCTGGTCAGGTAGAGAACAGTGATGATCACTTTCCTCTCTTTAATCTAAACCCATATTATGTCAAGATTTATGCTGGTAAATATCAGAATATATCTTTAATTCACAAAGCCTCCAAGTGGAAAGTTTATTTCAAAATTTTGACTGGGGCAAAATAAATTACTTAAGCTTTTCAGTTAGTTTTCAAATTACCTCTAGGGAATTTATTCTGGGAAAACACACACACACACACAACCTTGACAGTGACTATGATATGTATTTTCTAGTTTTCCTAAATGAGCATGTATTTCTTTCATAACGAAAGCTTCCTTTTAAGGAAGGTGTTGCCTTTGCCACAGAAACAGATTGTGGGTGGACAGATTCTCCTTGGAGGAGCGGATGGAGGCTGATGAGGGGTTGTAAGCAAGACATGAGCAAGAACTTTCCACTGTGCATGACCTGGGGACTTCTCCCGTCCAAGGAGTAATTGTCCTTAAGGTACTGTGCAATATTTTGAGACCCTCAGGAAAGACAAGGTCAAGAGGTCAAGGGATAAATTCCCCTTGTGGGCTTGGGCATGGTGTTATACAGCAGAGTCTTAAAGGAGTTTAATACCTTTTAGTACAGCACTGGGGTTAGAGGGGTCACAGAAAATACTTCTCAGACATTCTTTGCACAGCTGTGAGTGCAAAGAGGGAGGGATAGGGCTGTGAGCAGAAGGGGAAGCATCTGTGGTTCACCACAAGGATAGGTCACGCCTGCCAGGAGGTTCTTCAACATCCGCTGAAGTCCCAGCCTCACCTTCTGTAATATCTACTGTGTCACCTCAAGTATCAGTAGCTTAATGGAGTGAGACACAGTAATCACCTCAGAGTTTCTGTTGTATGGAGTTTGGGAGTGAATTAGTAAGAGAATTCTCACTTGGGGTCTCTCATAAGGCCGTAGTCAAGGGAGGGATTATCTGGGAGTAGAAGGTCTGTCCCCTTCCAGGGGGTCACTGACTGTTGTAGTCAGGGGTTGTACACAGAGAACACTTAGGTTTGTAGTCAGGGGTTGTACACAGAGAACACTTAGGATTAGGACATGGAGTTTATAATATTTTATAATGGTCACCAGGAGTTAACATAGGAAAATGCAGAAATCTATCCACAACACCAAAGATATAGATTAGTCAAGAGCCTAAACCCCACAGCAATGTCCCACATGAGTCCAGATAAAAACCCAGAGCTCAGGACAATGCCTCCCACGAGTCTAACTGGAGGTCCAGATCCCACAAGAAGGACTCACGCCAGTCTCTTTTACGGATCCGTGCCGGGAAGACCCAAGGGTCAGCGGTGGAAGCCAGAAAGTCTATGC